ATTTTATATTTTTTCACTAATGAAAACTACCCGTGATAAATTATCAATTATGAACTTAGCAATATCTATGTATTTGGTGGAACACTGATGTATTTCCGTTGTTGCTCTACTAAGGTTGAATTATATTATAAAATATTCAGCAAAAAAAAGTGTTTTAGTTTTTTCTGTACCACACAGAAGATTTCGAGTTAAATAGATCGAAAAAGTTCATCAGTAGAGTGCTGCGAAAGTAGTAATCTGCATAGCACAGTTGAAAATTTCTCATTCTTCATTTTTTTGACCCTACAGCAATCAAATCAAACATCCGATTAGTAATATTTGCATCCTAATCACTATAGTAACGTTACAACAGTCTCTTTTTAGTGATGTTTCAGCTTGTATTTCCATAAGTTTTTCTTTACCTCTGAATATGCTATTGTTGAACAGAAAATTTCACAAGACTAAAAATTTTTATCAATCTTTCACATTCATTAACTGTTCATCTGATATGGAGGTTATTAACTAATTGCATATTTAGAGCATTTTCCAATTCATGTTCGCTTTTTTATCTATAACGTCTATGCGAAATATAGGTGACACTACGAGAAGCTAAAATACTAAACAATTGTTTTGTTTTGTTTTGTTTCGATAATATATGTTTATATGAAAATGGGTTAATAAAATATGTTAAGTATACTAAAATTTTGTGGAAAAAAAAACATTTTTATACTCAAATTAATGAAAAAACACCTGCAAAACTAAAGGATATACCGACTGGTACGGAATTCTCTACATGACGAGTCATTTGGCGTTTTCTGTTGCAACTCTCTCATAGGATCCTGGTTTGAGCACTTTTGAAAGAATCATCTAATCGTTTATTTGTCGCTTTGCTTAGACAAAATAAAACATTGATAATGAGACTAATCTATGGACTTCGTGGTGCTTATTCGAGAAAATGAAAGGCAGACTATAGGTCTATGTAAGCAACAGCGTGTGTTAATTAAATAGAGATTGGGACCCATCTGTTGTTGTTCTAGTGAGTTTTGAAATTTTCTGAATAATTTATAATTTTACTTTTAAGAATAATTAATATACATTCAATCTAGTCAAAGCAGCACAATTCTGTCAGTGAGTTCTCTAGCGTCGATTTTGACCTTTCCCGAAAAAACCCCTGAAGAATCTGTCATGATTCTGCTTACGAGTTGTTTTTCTCTAGAACTCTAGTACAGTATTTAAACTGCATTGACCTGTTCAAAAGACTCACTCAATCACACAAAACAAAGTAGAGATGCAATTACAGTAATGGCGTAAGAGTCCTGTCCCATTACTATTGTGCTTTTGACTATTCATTTGCATAAATTTTCGTTGTCTTGCTTTCGATCGGTGAATAGTAAACACTATAGGACTATAGATTATATGTAATAGTCATTTGATGTGAGCCACAACTTATAACAATAGAAAGATGCTCAATTTCAAAATTAGATTCGCGAGAAATTTACTTCACTTCTTAGAACATGTTCCTGAAGATACAAATTCAAATTTGTAGTTTTATTACAGATGTCTTACGAAGACATTAAGATCTTTCGCACATTTTTCCACAGAATCATCTAAAATTTGTATAGAATTACAATAGAAAATTACCTTTTTGGCAGGTTTTCTCCGCCGAAATAAAAATAATGTCCGTACCAAGCTCAAGAATTTGGATATGAGATCAACTGGTATTCTGCCTTAAGTTTCATTCTTACTTTCACCATTAGCTAGGCGCCTTCTATGAGCGTAATAGTCTCTTTTGTTTCATAATAAAATGTGTACGAAGAGTTACAGAAAAATCCTGAAAAATTCTAAAAGATACCAAAAAAAAACAAGAAACTGTTGCAGCTAACATGTTAGGAATAGGTGTGAAAGGATAGATTCATTTGACCACTTGAATTTCCAAGTTTGGAAGATGACTGCTTTATTTAATGAACGACGGAGTGCATGTGATCATTACCCATTTTAAAGAAACCATTCTCATATCTAAATGATTTCGTTATATCAACTGACAAAATTGTAATTACTTCAATGATGAACTTCATGAAATAGTGGTATGACGAATACTGCGATCTCAACATCAAATACCTCAAATTGTCTATCACGCTAATCTCGATCCAAGAGATTTCTTGAGTTTCCTTCTAATATTCATTACGATTAACATATTTGTTTCCCTTTCAGTTCCGACATGCAGCGACAATCTGAAAAATCAAGATGAAACCGATGTCGATTGTGGAGGTTCATGTGCAGCAAAAGGGAAGAAGTGTCAAAATGATCAGATGTGTAAAAGACCATCGGATTGTATCAGTGACGCCTGCGCCTCTCGTGGTCAATGTGTTGGTAGGTACCCTGTTATGCAAAGAAATCGAATATTTAATTAGACGTCACAGCTCCGACGTTTAGCAACATTGCTGAAAATTTGTATGAGAAACATGTCAACTTCGACAGTTGATATGAAGTATAGGAAAACAAGGCGCATATGATTGTTCCGTTGTGAGTTCAGTTGTAGGTCTCAGGTTCTAGATGGTAGTGTGTGGGTGTAGGTGTATTTATGTGAATCTTTTCTACAGCCTTATGAAGTAGCATCCATCATCGATACCGGAACCTACATTGTCAACAACATTAGCATATGCAACGTCGCCTACATCCACACTTAGTCCTTTTGAAATTCTAATTGGGGGTTTATGTACGCTGTCGTAAGATCGAGTACAATTTCCTCTAAATCAAGCAGTCAGAAAGAGTGTCAGGTTCAGTTGTAGTCGCTAGTTTTCGCAGAAAATTCCTAAGTGTTTTTGCTGCCTATTTGATTCGTATCTTTTTCTATGGTTATTTTCGACTATGAAGTCATTCGTGAACACTTCTAAAATACACGTGAAGATGAAAAGTTTCCTGTTCAAAGCATAGCTAGGTTACGTTTATTGCACAGCTACATTAGCAACCGCTATTGATATTGTGATGGCAATAAGACGAGTATGCAAGATATTTTCAGATTTCCTGAATCGCAATCAAATAGCTTTTGAAACTTTTTAAGGAAATTTTTGATGAAATCAGCCGATCTAAAATGTGTTCGTCAATAGGTTAGAAGCTAGTAAGCTACTTATTTAGACTATGACTACATAGGTAGAAACAAGCACTATTAACTTGTTGACTCTCATAATAGTGCCTACTATGATTGCCTGATATAGAATTGAACAGTAGCGTTCGCTGTGTTTCATTGTGCAAAAAATAAGATACACATGCGAGCGTAAAGATTCCATTTGTTCAGCTAACTTCTTGGATCCTGAAAGAAACGTTTAGCAAACGTTCTTTTGTTACTAGATCATTCTCTTTACAAACTTGCTTTGATCCATGCACGTAAAAGCGACTTATTGTCATGAGAAGTAACTATTCATTTCAAAATAATGCAACTTTGGAAGCAATTTGTCAGCTCAAAGTTGGTTAGGGTTGAAAACGACCACAATCTCACTACTTTTCAGGTTCGAACAACGAAACCGAAAGATAGATCTGCGGGTTAAACTCCACAATCATTTATCAGATGTACGAAACCTGTTGCTATCGTTCATTGTTCATACTAAATGCGAAGCACAGTTCGCATAGCAAATTTTTTTCTGGAAATTCTGTACGAGAAAACTTTCAATGCTTCACAACAGTTCATTTTGTTGCTCTGGTAAACATATATTAGATTTAGAACTATCGAGGAAAACTACATTAGAACATCTACGTACGTGTAGCTTTCACTATACCAATTCAGCTTTTAGTCAATTTATTTGCACTAGAATAATTATTTGCAGTTGCTTTATAATTGAGTAGTAGCCTATGTAAACTAATAGTTTATATGACTAATTATTTGATACAGTAAGGCGAATAGTTATTTGGATAGTAACCGCTTTGATTGAAATTTTATCATTAATATCAAGTAAATAACGTATCTAGGTCATGATGAAAGTTGCAACCTTCAATATTATTCTTTTTTAGAGTTGTCACTATCAACTTCAGTAGAAGCGATGAAATTCATGGAGTCAAGCGAATTAGTTGAGTCAATATAATCATACGTTTCCGCCTTTCTATCATGATAATACTTAGGACAGATACACTAAGTATGTCATACTGGTTCTGAATGACTTCAAATTAGACGCGGTCAGTTAACTTTACATGACCAGATAGTGCAGACTAACTTTGAGATAGCAACGTTTTTTTCAAAACACCTGGCAAAGATCAAGTAGCATTCAGCAATCCAAATATATAGATATTTTTTTCAAAACTTTTACAGTATGTTTTTCAGTCACAGAAGTTTACGATGAATCTCTATTTTATCAGAAAAAGTTTTCCTTGAACGAAAGAACAAACTTGAGACATTTCAACAGCTAACGCTCACATCCAATATCTCCACTTTGAAAAAATTTGATGTAACTTTATAAGAAATTGTTACTTTTGTGACATAAACTTTCCTTGACAGAGTATAATCGTATTCTGAAATAGTGAAAGACGATTTGTAGAGTTCATCCCACGTCTAGCCGTCAAAAACCATTATTATCTACTAAGTATGTATAGTGTATCAGACGTTTCTTTTGTACCAAGTGGTATGGTGGGTGTGGGTGTGCATAAACTCATTCTTAGAACAATTCTACGCACCCAGCCATCCCTACACACATCTAAAACCTACACCTCGAATATGCATAGTTTAAGAAAAAATATTTGAGTATTTTCAAACAGGAACGATTTTTCGAGAGCAAGACTTCAGTATCTTTTTATTTCTCTCTATTTGGTCGAATCAGCTGGCCCTGATATCATGTCATCACGGATGAAATCGTACCGATGAAACAGTACTTAGGTCTAATTCTACCAATGCTTCGTCATCTTTTTTTCTATTAGTGCCGTGCACTGCAATATTTACTGGGCCAACGAATTATGCGGCTGGCTCTGGAACATACTCAGTGGCAGTAGCTGATCTTAATCGGGATACGAAACCTGACATCATTGTCCCAAATGATATGGCAGGCACCATCAGCATTCTATTGAATAGGGGTGATGGTACATATAATCCTCAAGTAGTATATACAACTGGTGGCACTGCCTCACATCCTGAGGGTGTGACAGCCTCTGATCTTAATGGCGACGGCAACCTTGATATTATTGTAGCAAATTATGGTGCAAACAACATCGGTATTTTCATGGGCACAGGTGTGGGCACATATGCTCCTCAAGTGGCTGTTGCAACTGGTGCTGGGTCAGGACCGCAAGCTGTTGCAGCCTCAGATGTCAATGGTGATGGCAACGCCGATATTATTGTAGCGAATTTCGATGGAAACAAAGTTAGTGTGTTTCTGGGCACAGGCCGTGGCACATTTTCTCCTCAAGTAACCTATCCAACTGACGCTGGTTCGAGACCAAGATCTGTTGTAGTAGCTGATCTTAATAACGACAATAAAGGCGACATTATTGTTGCAAACCGCGAAGGAAGCTACGTCGCTGTTTTCTTCAATAAAGGTGATGGCACATTCTACCCTCAGGTGAAGTATTCTACTGGTGCTGGATCGTGGCCAAGGTCTGTGGTAGTAGCCGACGTGAATGGTGATGGCACACTCGATGTTATTGTTGCAAATAGTCGTACAAATAACGTCGGTATTTTCCTCAATAAAGGTGATGGTACACTAGCTACTCAGACGACACTTCCAACTGATCCATTACCCAGAGCTGTTACAGTCGCAGATATAAATGATGACGGAAAAATTGACATTCTCTACATAAGCAGCGCTAATGACAACTTTGGTCTTTATCGCAACACGGGGAATGGTATATTTGTTCTGCAAGGACCCTATGCAGTTGGTGCAGGCTCTTCACCATATGGGATAGCAGCAGCTGATCTTAATGGCGACGGAAAAATAGACATTGTAGTCGGAAACCACGGTACAAACAATGTTGGTGTATTCAAGACTGCTTGCAATTAATACATGAACTTAATAGTTTCAGTAGTACTTGATAACATGAAACTATGACAGTGACATTAACATAGTAGTTTACTCTATACCCAAACAATTTAATGACACAGAACGTTTTGTATTTTGATATATTCTTTTGCTTCTTTACTAACCAAGCACGAATAATATTTCTTATCATTTAGAAGTATTTTCTAATGAATCCGTAATCAAAACTGAATATTTACTATAAAGCTGAGAAAAATTTCAGTTCCTAACTTGCTCACTAGAAGTTACTTTCGTTCTATTGTTACTATCGCACAAGAATCAGTATTGATAATAACTAAGCCAAAAAGAGCATGAATGGGGTACAAGTCTACCTGGGAATTATAATAATTGTAAATTTTTCTAGAGGATCTCAGGGATTTTTTGGAAAATCATTGTCTGATTCGCTTGAGTAGGTGAATTTTCAATTTCAATTTAGTCATATAGCAACTGAATGTCCACTTTATAAACTGCAGAATTTTGAGGCGTTTTCAACCTTTCGTTAAAAAATGATGACCATTTTACTGAATTTTCAACACTTTCCTAGGTATTTACCAGAAAATGAAATTACGGAATTTTGAACTGAAAATTTGTCCATAGGATATCCTAAGTGTTTTGATCGAAAAGGATATTCCTTTCTCGAGATATTGGATTTTCAAATATCACTTGGAAATATACCTAATCAAGCGAATCAAACCGTGATGTTCCAAAAAAAATTTCTNTATGAGTCCATTTGTTCACAAACTTTCAGCGCTTTGCTGTTTCACACATTTTTTAATATATTCTCCACTATTAAAAACTGTTTAGAAAAAGTTAAATAGACAACAATAACTAACATTTTCAAAAAAAAAATTCATTTTCCTTATTCAAATATCATAAATTAATCCTATGTAAAAAAAAATCAGAATTTCAATAAATAATATTGTTTTCGAAAGTAGACAACGAAGACTATTCAATCACATAAAAATCTCAAAATCGATTTTTTTTTTCATGGAAGATGGGGTGAGCTTGAAAAAACACCTTACTTTCATTGAGTTGATCATTAAATTACATTAAAACAAACAATTTAAACAAAATAAAATATACCTCCATTTAATCAAATTGATTAAATTACCTGCAAAGTCATTTTTTAGAAGATTACCCGGTCAGACAAAACTTTTCAAAAGCGCGTTTAAACGCTACAATCGGGAACCGCGATTGTAACCCATTCACGCTCATTAAAAAAACGCACGAAAACGCGTTTATTGGCGTTTTTTGCAACTTTATGGGCGTTAAAACGGCGACAATTCCCGTTTTTGAGCGTTAAAACGCACTACTATTCTAGAACTTAAAAATAATACGTTTTAACGCTCCAAAATTGGAGTTTTCGCCGTTTTAACGCCCATAAAGTTACAAAAAACGCCAATAAACACGTTTTCGTGCGTTCTTTTAATGAGCGTTAATGGCTTACAATTGCGGTTCCCGATTGTGCGTTTAAACGCGTTTTTCAAAATTTTTTGTCTGACTGGGTTTTCACGTTTTTTGCGTTTAATTTTCACTTTCAGAGTCTGAAAACGGTGAAAAATTCAAAAAATGAGCGTTAAAACGCATTGTTTTTATGTTTAAGAAAATTATAGAAATAAAGGCACGTTTTAACACTAAAAACTGGAGCTTTTCCACCGTTTTCACGCTCTAAAAGTGAAAATAAAACGCGAAAAACGGCGTTTTGTTTTTAAGCGTGAATGGGTCACAATCGTGGTTCCCGATTGCAGCGTTTAAACGCGTTTTTGAAAAATTTTGTCTGACCGGGTAGTATCATTACATAAAAGATGTATTTTCAATTCTAAAAACCATTAACGTCTAAATTAGAACATATTTAATCTTTTAAATATTTATTTAAATGCACAAAACTATTTGTTTACATGAGATCTAAAATTATGATTTTATGAGATCTTACAAGATTCCAATTATCAGGCTCTGCAAGAATTTTGCAGTAAGAACCACAATAGTATATTATAGTCAGATAAATATTAAATATTACAGTAAGATATTTTTAAGATCATATACTATGAAAATTCCGACATCCAATTGTCAGTAAAAAATTTTCACACGAGCATAAATTAAAGTATGTTAATCAATTGTTTTAGTCATGGATATTTCGAAAACATGAGTATTATGGAAAATTCAAAGATCTGTTTACATGTGTCATTGAAATACCGAGCTTCATTTTTGTCTAAGTTTTATAATTCAAAATACTTCAGATGTCGACGACAATTTCCCATATTAGAAACATTGTATCTCGATTGGAAATTCTTCAGAATAAGAGAACCAAAAAAAATGATGAATATATTTAATCAATGTTTTTATGTTGATTGAGATTAAACTTATCTTATCTATACAATAAAAATGTTTTTTTTTTTTTCTAACTCACATAAAATGATAAGATAGTTACATTCGTCATTCTAATCAGTTGCTTGATGTTATCTGAATATCAGCGACATCTTTTTTTGTTTCGTCATCATTCTTTACTTTGATCTAATTTCTCTACGAATCGATGTGTAAGAATATGATGAAGGTGTGACATAGACTTAAAAAATAAAAACAAAAATAAACAAAGATTGATCGATCTTTTTCATATACATGATGTTTTTCAAATCATCATCAACAAAAATGTTTGATATTCGTGATGACAATACCAATAATTATTTTAATTCTCGATATAGAACACAATCGAGTTCACATCTTCTTTCACCTGATCTCGTTTGTGTTAAACCAATGTCACCACAACAAGATCGATCTCCAGGATTATCAACAACATCTTTTGCTGCATCAAATAGTCCAAAAGCAAATTCATCTTCATTTCTTAAAATTTCTTCACCAAATCATAAAACAAGCAGTTCACCATCTCCTGAAGATCGTTTTGTTATGACAATTATTAGAAGTCCATCGACTAGTTCTCAACGTATATTATCAACAGAACCTTCAGGACCAACGACAACAAATGAAGAATTTTCAAATAATAATAAATTTTTTAAGAGTAAAGTTACAGCAGCACTCAATCATATGAAATATCGTAAGTTCGAATTTGTGGTTTTTCTTATAAACTGTTTTTATCATAAAGGTTGGGTAGTTAAAATGCGACCAAATTTTCGTACAAATGATTCACCAATATGTTTACTTGGTAAAACATATAATGGAAAAGAAGGTAAAGAAAAACAAAATGATCGAAGAGCAATAATAGCCATCTTTTCAGTTACGATGCTATTCATGACTTACTTTATGCTAATATTTCACAAGAGAATTATTTCTGGGATATTTGTAAATTTTTTTGATAAAGAAAAAAAAACAACTTGAGATTTTCACAGGTTGAGGAAAAGACAGCAGAAGTAGAATTTTGTTTCGACACCATTTTGTATTAGTGTCTAATAAAGTTCATATTTTTTTTCTAAGGCTTTTTTTCCTCATAAAATTCAGTTGATGTACCTCGGAGGCTACAGTCTAAAAGAAAAAGAATTTAATTAGAAAATAATTTAAACACATTTTCTTAACCTGTAAAACATCGCTTTAGGACAAAAGAAGCGACAACTAAACAATAAAAACATTCTTTTGATTGTATCTACTAGGTGCATCAGTTAAATTTTCCGAGAAAAAACAAAACATTTGAAACATATATCGATCGATTGAATTTTTTATAATGATTTTATTCATTTAGACTTAAATCGTACTTTTTTTTGGAACAAAATTCGAGTTCTAACAAAGTTCATCCCTAAAAAATGTATAAAGATTAATATTGTTGTCATTCCTTCAAGCTGTCACCATCAATCAAAACCTTATGTTGTTTTTTTTCTTTCTTGAGATATTGAGAAAGTAATAAACAGAAATAATAATATAGCCATCTGGTTCTGATGCTAGTTTGAAGTAATATGTTTATCACTACTTAACAGTATTTCAACTGTTCGACCTAAAGTTTTCCCTCGAAATACCCTGTAGAATGTATAATCGATTGACATACATTTTTCGATTTCAAGTGTCTCGCTATGAGGTAATCTACACGTTTCACTCTTCTACATATGCATTCTTGATTTAAGTTGCAAAAATGAATGTCAATATTTTGAGAAAGAAAAATACATCTGGATGCTTCAAAAATAGCTTCCTCGTGGATTTTTGCATTAGACAAGTTTTGAATGTAAGGAAACTGAAGATCGTCTTAAAATAGTTCTTATGCCCCTCCACTCTAGATCTCGTCGAGTTGGTCTGAGATCTAATGTATTCTAATCATCGAAAAAATGTGTAGTGTATTATCAGAGTATGACTCGGTTAGATTGGAAAAAGTTTGATCAACTGGGCCCCGAAGCCAAAAATTTTCAACCCGATTGGCTCTATCATCTATCTCTGTTTTTGATTAAATTCAATTAACAATATCGCTTTTTTTTTGTCTATAGAAGCAGCATACGATGATACACCTCATTCACAATCTGAACACTCTTATGCAAATTTTATAAAGTTATTTTCACAACGAATTTATTTTTCATATCGAAAACAATTTGAACCATTAACTGGTTCACGTAATGGAGATATACTTACATCAGATGGTGGTTGGGGTTGTATGATACGTTGTGCTCAAATGTTACTTGCTCAAACATTCTTTATACATATGACAAATACAATTAATTCACATTATTCAAATATTCAAGTATCAGATAAATGTATGATGATTTTAGAATAAAAATAATTTTCGTGAACATTTTTTTTTTATTGTTTTTATTTTTCTCAAGGTCCAAAACGAAATTCAATTGATTGCATTCGAAATGGAAATCGTATAAATCGTCGTACAAAACTTTACACAGATATTATTCGATTATTTGGTGATTTTCCACATCTGAAATGTCCATTTGGAATTCATAAGTAAATATTTTGAATGTAAAATATTTAACGAAAATTTCTTTTTTTTTTTTTTCTGAAATAGATTTGTTGAACTTGGTACACCACATGGTATCCGTCCGGGTGATTTTTTTGGACCCGTGAGTGCTGCTCATTGTTTAAAAGAAGCTATTCAAGCTGCTGTTGAAGCAAAACAAATACCTGAAATACTTCGTGTTTATATTAGTCAAGATGCTATTAGTAAGATTTAAAATCACATTGCTTTTGTTTTTGTTTTATGTCTATATATTTATTTTCTATAGTCTATCGGCAAGATGTTAATGATTTATGTAGTTTACCATTATTAAGTCATAATTCACATGTAAATAAAAAACCTTCACTTTATCCATCATTAGATTCAATTACAACAGACAATAATTCTGCACGTTGGTTAACATCTGTATTAATTCTTGTACCATTAAGATTAGGTTTAAATGAACTTGATTTAATCTATGAAGATTATATAAAAGAAGCTCTTAAATTACCTCAAACAGTTGGAATTATTGGTGGTAGTCCACGTCATGCTGTTTATATAATTGGTTTTCAAGATGATAATTTTATTAATCTAGATCCACATTTTATTCAAACAACGGTTAATGTATTTGAAGATACATTTGATATATCGGTATGAAGAAAATATTTGTTTTTCTTTTCTTATTTAAGAAAAAAAAAACATTTTTCTTTTAGAGTTATTCATGTTCATCACCAAAAATATTAACTGCAAAAAAAATGGATCCAAATTGTACATTAGGATTCTATTGTCGAGATAAAGCTGATTTTGAAATGTTTTCTGCACAAGTAAATATTTTTTTTTCTTCTTCTATGAATGATTAAGATAAAGAAAATCAATACATAGAATAATAATTCAAAGAAGTTTTCATGATAATCAATTTTTTATCATCATAAAAAAAATGTAATTCCCATTAGAATATAACTTCTCTTGAGAAGATTCATGTTTATGAATGTACACAAAGGAATTTTCAACGAAGAAAGACATGATAATACAATTGATTAGATATATGTTAAAATATTTAAATTTGGACACTCTTAAAAATATTGAGTGCTGTTTTTTTTTGCCAATGAAATCAATTCATCATTATAAATTTGTAATAAACTCGAATTATTTCATGTTAATTTTAAAAAAACAATAAAGAATATCACAGAAAATATAATTGCTCTTAATGAATACATAACTATTCACAATTCAGAGAGCGGTATCAATATGTTTGAAGGATACATAATTATTATATTAGTAAAAAAATACTTTGGATAAAGAAAATTATTTATTATAAGTTCAAAATTTTTAATTATCATAGATTTGTTTTTTCTTGATGATCTTTTTACAAAGATACATAGAAATATTATTCTAATCTTCGAACTTGAAACTTACATTATTATTATCATTTGTTTTCTATTACTTAGTGGAATCGTGTATGTCATATGGCAGCCGATAATCGACGTACATGTCCAATATTTCGCATTGAACGTGGAACATTTCAAGAAAGTCATACACGTACATTAAATTGTGATTATCCATCATTAAATGACGATGAAGATGTTTTTCTTCGTGTCACGAAATTATCATCGGCAAATAGTTCACCATTATCATTAACAAAGAAAGTTACTAATAATGGAAAAAATTTACTTACTAATTCATCATTGAATAATGCTGCATATCGTGATTCATGGGATGATGTTGGTCAATCACTGCATGATAATACCAATGGCCAATCACATACTCTTTCCGATGATTATGTTTTTCTATAATGCAAAATACTGAAATTCATTTTTTTTTTGACACAAGAACGAAATCTAGTCAACATTATTGTACACTTGTTCTTGTTGCTTTTCTTTCTTTTTTTTAACGTCCAAATTAAAAAAAAAAAATTCTTTTGTCTGTGAGTGTATACTGCGTGATATATTTAATTATTTATGAAAATGATGTATAATTTGTGATTTGTATTTATAAATTTATTTTTGCTTTTAGATGATTTCAACAATAATTATTATTTTGTGAGTCTTTTTTTTGTCAAAGATAAGTTTATTGTTTTAATTATCAACAATTATTATTTAGTACTTTATTGATCAATGCAAGTGCTATTATTAATTTTAAATTGTATGTTTTTTTATTTAGTTTTTTTTTTGTCATATTTTATTGTTGATAGGAAACGCAAAGAAGTTGGTTTCATAGTTGAAAGTCCATCTATTGGTAAGAAATTAATGCATGAACAAATATAATTAATTTTTTTTTAATTATGTATTTCATAATGAAATAAAGTATAATACAAGGAAACACTTTGAAAGTTGTTTTTTTTTCACTTCGCATTTAGAGGACTATTTTACAGTTAATTTTAGTATTGTTTCTTATGAATAATGCAATTGTGTACTTGATTAAACTAGATCATGAAAGTTGTTGTTGAGATCGCGTTTCACAAGGAGTATTTATGCCTTGTTTTAAAACAATTGATAAAAGCAGAAAGAAGTAATATGAGTTCATATTTAACGAATATATTAGATTCAAACATAGTTTCTTACGATATTCAGCTAAAAATACATTGATATCTCACGCGTTATGTAATGTCGCATTTTTAGGGTGAATACCAATATCTGAAAAATCTGTCTTTTATTATTTCTCGATTGATGCGCTAGACTTGGGTGGGAACGAAATATTGGCACAATTTAATTGTTTAATCTTTTGTGTCGATTAGCTTTGATTGTTCATGAATTGGTTTGTAACGCTCTAACTTTCGATAATTCTATTGTATTTTATCATTAATACTATGATCTATGACTAATGATAATGTAGAATACAAAATTAGTTTGTTTAAATCTATTCAATTAATAACGAACCAATTGAAACTGTTTTCAATCATTAACGAGTTGATAATGCATTCATTGAGCATGAGATATCGTAGAGCTTTAAACAGACAAGTATAATTGAAATAATTATTGACGAAATATTATGCTTAAAGTATACTTTATTCATTCGTATGTTCAGTGAGAATCAACTTCAATTATTGTTGAAATACTATAAAAAGTTTCTTCATATTGCATCACTTGGAGAACAGTCTGAATTGGTTACTTCTATGATACTGAGAACTATTCTGTTGAAATTAATTAAACAAAAATTTGATTAGTATACGATCTGAAAGTGTTAAATTCTATGTAATGCTCGAACTAAAAATAGACACAATTTTTCTTTGCATATAAAATCATACTTTTGATTTTTTTTTCTTATGAGAATCCAAAATACATGAAGGAAATGTTGTATTACTAATTTGAGAGAAACGTCAAAATACACAATTTCTTAATCTGAAATATTGCGTATAATCCGAAGTATATCTAAACATTATAATTGAAAATTATGGCTTTTAGACAAATCGAGCGAAAGTCGTTTTTTTAAGTATCCTATATAATTTAATATTTTTTATAAAATTATCTCGAACTCTTTTTTTTTTTGTTCTATAAAAAGAAGAGAATCTATTTTATATGAAAGAAATTATATTCAAACTGATAGTATCAAACTTAGAGAATTATTTATTCTGAAACTAAAGATGAAGCACCAAAAGAAAAGAAAAATGGTAGATTAAATTGTTTGTTTTCTTATTTCTTTCAAAAAGAAAAGCAAACAATACGCTGAATGATTTTATTAATTAAAGTCTTCAGTTCATCTTGCACATTTATTTGCACTACTTGTAAGTAACGAACGTATAGCCACAGTAGATTACCGGTCGAAGAATAACAATCGATATGTTGCGGTAAGAAAATCGACAAAATATTTTCTTTAATCGTTGTGTTTTTTTTTTAAATATTTTTCTTTTAAAAAGTATTCTGTGCCTGGCAATATAATTATTGAGTTCGAGTTTACAGGATGCTAAATGAATACTTTACCAATACTTTGATTGAATGTTGCTTGAAGCTATGGTTTTTTTTTAGTTTGAATACAATTATTATCAATATACGAGATACTAATTATTGTCGTTTCTTTTTTATTTATAGAAATAAGTATGAGTTTTTATGGTTTTGTAATTTCAAAAAAAAAAAAAAAAAAAAGAAGAAAATGATGATTTTTAAGAAGCAGAAATTGAACTCATCAGAAGCCTTTCTTTTCTCATTGGTTAATTTTAGGTGATAAAATACGTGAATTTCTTACAAGTCTTCAATATTTTCGGATATTTATTGGTCTTTGGAATATTTTAATCATATTTGCTATGTTTACGTAAGTATATATAATTCTCATTAATCTTTTTATGTCATTTATTTTTGTTTACTATCTTCAAGTATATTTGGCTATTGAATTATTCTATCACAAATGATTGATGAAACAATGTTAATGTTAATGTTCTTGTTTTTGTTTTTATCCTCTTGATAGGTTTATTTTTTGGTTCAGAGAACAAAATAACAGTTCTATTAATACCTCTGTGACATTTATTCTGTTCACATAATTGCCACACTATGATCTTCTTGTCTGTTATTCTATAAAATTAGTTTCTTTTTTAACATCTAATTGCTACTTGTCTCCCGTCGATATAGGTTTCTTCTTTTGATAATCATTTCTTCTTTTTTTTTTTTTCTTCTGTCACATATGGTTCATTCAATATAACACATAACTGGAAGTGTTCTTTTTTTTTCATCATTTCTTTCCTTGCACCACATCCACAATGTACAACAAGAAACTATTCGTTCTTCTTTTCGTTTTTTTTTATGGATGTATGTGCGTCTTATACACATCTTCTCTTTCTTCTTTTTTTTTTTCGCTCGTTTTCTTATAATTATACGACCTCCAAACATCACCGTTACCATTTGCAACATGCATGAGTAATATTAATGGTAGTAAACACATGCCTGCAAAGATGATTAATATATCTATATGTATACATTCCTACAAGAAAAATAATCTCATTTGTTATGTTGTTTAATTTTAGATCGATTATTTCAGATTGACTATCGAATGTGTTTCGATGTCACCGCAAGCATCATGCCAGAAAATGGTGACAAAATCGTCAGATGTCGAAGCACGAACAAGACCAAAACCTCATCATCGTCGTGATCAAAAATTATGTACAACAGAACGTCTCCCAGCATTATTTACATCGGCTCTTTTATTTATCACTTCATTCACTTATTGGTTATGTATTTTACCAGAGATTATAAATCTTTTGCCATCATATTTACCAATTCTTATTTTACATTGTATTTTATTTGTTCTTGTTGCTGCAAATTTCCTTCTTGCAACATTTATGGACCCAGTAAGTTGTTTTTGTTTTTATAAAAAAAAATGTCAAAAGAAATTTTTTTTTTTCTTTCTATTTATTAGGGCATCTATGAACAATCATTGAAAAAAGAACATACAAATATAAGTTTTTATGTTCGTCCATTAAAACGAAAAGGAATTTTTGATACAGATGATGATGATGATGATACATATGAACCTCCAGCACGTATTGTTCATATAAAGCATGGTAAAAATTTATATTTCTTTTGAATATTAATATTTAAAATTCTATTTTAGGATTAATTCATATGAAATATTGTCGAACATGTAAATTTTTTCGACCACCACGATGTTCACATTGTTCCACTTGTGAACGATGTATTGATGTAAGATTTAATTTCGAGTTGTTCGAAAAACACCAAAAAGAAAACAGCCTATCGAAGAATGTTTTTTTTTTTTCTTCTTTTATGAGACTAGTTTTTTTTATTGCAATGAAATATAAGACTGTTTGTGAATTTTATCAGAATAACACATAGAAAAAAAAACAGTTTAAAGTATGTACTTGAAAAACAAAAAATGTCATGTCTTGAGCTTTTTTTTTCAAAAGTTTGAAATAGAAATCAAAGAAAGATTAGTTTAAAAAACATCGTCAACTATTCGACGATATATTTTAGTACTGATGAAACTGATATGAAATTAAAAAAGACTTGAAACAAAAAGTTTTATACATCGAGAGCGAACGTTAGCACTGTTATTTATAAGACCTCTGATTGAATTTATTTCTTTTTTTACTGGGAAATTTATCGATTACGAAAGAACCATTCGAACGAATATGTCCCGTTTGAATCTATATTAGGCCTACAAAAGAAGTCTCAGTAAGACGAGAAGAAGCAGCCTAAAACGGTTAGTTCCTATGAACCTTTGAAACCGAGTTACGAACGTTTTACTAGAGCTGCTAGCTCTAGAGCACAATACATTGAAAATGACACTATATTTGATAAGTTTTAAGTAGTAGAGCCCTGTGCGAAATCAACCAAATCTTTTGTCGAAAATCCAGCTTTTAACAGATGAACTTTTCTGAATAGTAGATTTTGTTCTTTGATATTCGCCATACAAGCTGATGCATTTTAGACGTTCCAACAATGTCGTTGTTAAAGCTAAATATTCGACAAAACGTTTAGTTGGCTTCGTACAGAGCTTTAATTGACAGCCTTGTGTTTTAATGAAGTTTCGACTAGGCTTTAACTATATACCGAAGAATCGAAAAAAAACAGAATTTCCACGTCAAACTTTTCCCATAAATAGTTCGAATGATCCGTAAAATGCCCCGAAAAATTTCAGCTGAAAGGAACGTTCTTGTGTTAAGATATCGCATTTCAAAAAATAATCGTTTTGCCATATGTATGACACAAAAATCCATTTTACTTGGAAATTCAATATCTCGACAAAAAAAAACATTCTTTGCAGGTGCAACTTTCAGGATATTCTATGGATCATTATATCTATCTATGTCGAAACTCTGCTTTTTGATTTTTCGGTATATACCTAAATTTGAGTCGAGAATTCAGTAAAAGGATCATCACTCGACTTCAAAGATCGACAAGGACAAACCTTTTTTAGACTTTTTCTAGTCTCATCAAGAGATGTTTGTAAGGCTAATATAAGTTCAAACAATGGATATTAGTTTTAATGGTTCACTCGTCATTTTATCAAGCTGTTATTTCTATTTCGAGCATAATCGATTTAATCACACCTCAATCTACAATCTGCATCACTTCAAATTCATCCTAAGGATCTACTTATAATCTAAATATAAAATCTCACAAGATAAATATGTAATACTTACAAAAAATTGTCCAAATACTCTATTTGAATATCTCCTAGGAAATTGTTTGCCTTTATTGTAATCCGATTTATATTCTAGACATTCGATCATCATTGTCCTTGGATAAATAATTGTGTTGGTATGTACACAAAATTAAAAAAAAAAAAACGAAGAAAAGTAATTTATTATTTGTTTTATCTTAAAATAGGTCGTCGTAATTATCGTTATTTTTTTCAATTTTTATTTTTACTCTGTATTCATATGACATTTATATTTATATTTTGTTTATATTACGTTCTACATGAACGTCATCATCAAATAATAACACCAAATATTCTTTCGGATTCATATGATTTATTAGTTCCAACTGATGATAATGAACTATTAACATCAACTGATTTAACAAAAACAAAATTTATTGGTTTTTCTGATTATCGATTTATAATTTGTATTATTTTACTTGTACTAGTTGGTCTTTTTTCAATACCAGTTTTTGGTTTAACTGGTTTTCATATATTTCTTATTGGAAAAGGTCGTACAACAAATGAACAAGTAACAGAAAAATTTCATGATCAACATGATGCATTTAGTAAAGGTCTTGTGAAAAATATTGTTTATTTTTGTTGTCAATCATTATATCCACAATTAAAAGCACCAAAAATAAAACGTTATAATGTTGAATTATTTGAAAAAATGGCATATGAAAATTATCGTTTATCAAATGGAAAGAAAAAATCAACAAAAAAAAATGAAACAAAAACAACTTATGATAAAATAAAAGAAAATGATAAAAAACAACAACCAAGACGTAAAAAGAAAAAAATTAATCATAATGATAATAGAGATAAAAATACAATACCTAATATTCATGTTAATCCACTCGATGAAAAAAGTATATTTTTATTATTAATCATACAAATTTATGTTTTTTATTTATTTTTTTTAGCTTCTAAACCTAGAACAAAAACTAATAATAAACCAATTAAAATTCCTGTACAACAAGTAAGTTAAATATATATGTATATATAATCACTCATAATCTTAATTACTGTTTTTTTGCATTTCTCAATAAGAAAAAAATAAAACAAAACATTTCGTAATATGACAATAAGTCACAGTTAGCAGCACTAAAGTCTTACTAAAAAATGAATGTATATAACTTTTCGAAACCAGATCCGGACCGGCACTTTTTTTTTATATCCGAGCCCGAGTGAGTTCCGACCATCTTATACTCGAACCCGTATAGCTGTACTCGGTAATGGTTCAGAGCTAATAGACATCTAATACATACTTTCACAGTGACAGTATGGTTTTAAAACTTTTATTTTATATTCAAAAATATACTATTTAGTTTCTTCCATATCCTTGCCATATACTAGTTTAATTCGTCAAATGATTCATGATTATCTATAGATAAGTTTTAATAAAACAAGATTGCTTTCAACTTTTATGACCTGTTCTCAAGTACAATAAAATTGTTTAGTCATGATCGAACTGGTTTTTACTCCTGTGTTGTTATATAAATTAGCAGTTTGAAAAAGTAAAAATATTTTAAAACGTCGAGATCTTATTAATTGTCGGATATGGGATCATATTCTGATCCGAGTCAACATTTCTTTTATGTGTGACACAAGAATCCATATTCATGATCGGACATCTGACCAGTTTGCAGGACACTAGTCACCACTAAATGATTCTATTCAGATGAAGTATTATTTTTATCAATATTGAAATCGCATAGTAGAGTGCCAAAAATGCACTCTGAAAAGATTTTTCACGACTGATATCGATGAATTTGTACTACTAGCTTAATCTATGTTTCAACAATACACATCTATGGTCTATAGAAATATTAGATGCTTGTTTCAAGGTTATAACCAGTAATAGCAAAGTAACGGACCAGTCCGGCAAAGATTTTCTAACCAACCAGTCGTTCTAAACATTTTTTCCCAGTTTTTCTATGCTTGTTTTTTTAACAACAATTGATCGTAAAAGTTTATCTTCTTACTGTTTTTCCATGAGCTCACTCTGAGATCTCTTTATGTTATCAAGATAAGATGAAGTAATTATTAAGCAGTGTAGTTCATCATAGATTCATTAAAATTTTCCTATTATAGAATATACTTCGCAGTCATATGAGATAATAAAGTGAGTACAATATGAAACTTATATTAGTCATAGGATTCAAACTGAATAAAAACCTCCGGTATACCGATAATCAGTCAGCGGTAGTTTGACAATTAGACGGTAAACCTATAGTTCTTTTCCGATCAGCAATTTACTGTAGGTACATTAGCCGTAGTGCAAATAGACATGCAATATGAGTATATAGCTCCTAATTTATGTTTATCTAACAGATAGTTAATCGCTGTACAAAATTAATCCGGAGTTCGAAGTCCTATTTTTCTGTTTTTTTTTTTTGTATTCAGTGACTAGTGCATCGTACATATTTCTCAGACGACTAGAGCCCACTGGATTCCAAAGATTTCGAACCTGAACTTGATCGGGTCCGGAACCAACTCAACGGTCTCTACGATCCAGTCTGATTGTTTCGATCACAACGATTGAAATTTCTTTATTTTAACATCGATTTTTGTTTTGTTTTTTCATAGCCAACTTCATCAAGTTCACATTCATCTTCATCTTCATCATCTCCAATTCAATCAATAAAAAATCAATCAAAATCTAAAACAAATATACGTCATAGTTCATCTAATATGTCATTATCATCACGTTATTCATATGATAATATAAATGAGAATGAAGAATATATGTTTGACATTCATGGTAATCGTCAACGACCATTACCTTCAACACCTATGGATTTAAATTCAAATCATAAACAAACAACGAGAATGAATACAATAAATAATGATGTTCAAGGTGATGCAACATCAACAACAAGCGCTTTAACACTACGCACAGAATCTTATCGACAAGCACATCCATTACAATCATTTGCTTTTGATTATCCAAAACGACCATTAATATCTCAATCAATATCAAGAAAAGATAATCAAAATGGAACTAATAATAAAAATTATGAAATAGCTGTTTAAGAATACGATTTCTGTGATTATCATCGCCATTTATTTTTTCTTTTCATTGGTACTGTAATATTTGATATAGTTTGATTTTCTTTTGCAAACAAGAAAAAAAACACAAACAGATGAAAACTGTTGTTGTTTTTTTTTTTTTGTCCTTGTTTATATTGTTATTATTTCTTGAAAGAAATGAACATGTGCTGATGTATATGTATTAAAAAATTTTTTTTTGTGTTTAATTCTTTGTATTAATGCTAAAGAGGACAAAAACAATTTTTTTTTGTTAATTGTTTCTACTTTATCTTTTCTTTAAAGAATAGAAAAGACTATTGTTAATTTTATTAAAGTCTTCTTTTATTCTTGTTGTTGTTCTTTGACAATATCTTTAACTAACACAATCATCAATACAGAATTTACACTGACATTGTTGAACAAAAGGATATTTGATTATTCGTTGTTGTTTATCATTACATATAACTTTTATTTCACGAGATATTGTTATATTTGGTGAACAACAACGAATATAATGTTGATGTCGATAAGGTATTGCTTCAGATTGCCAATCATAAATAAGATAATCTTTTGAATAACAATAACCTCGACAATATGTTGTTTCGATTTGTATTGAACTATTTAAACAGTCTCGAAGATTTAATACTTCAAGATAAGATTTCACATAACATGGATGAATTGTTGATATTGTTGTTGCCGTTATAACTGAATAGAAAATAAGATGCAGGATCATCGTCATAGTCATCTTTTTTTAATGAGTAAAAACGATGAGAAAAAAAAGCAGGAAAATGAGTGAAATTTAAAAAATTAGTCATTAGTTTCTGACATTTTTGTTTTGCATAAATCTTCTTTTCTCTCTTTTTTCTCATCTTCATCATTTTCAATAACAAAAGATATTCTTTTTTTTTATCTTAGGAAATTTTTTTCACTACATCATTTATTTCTTTTGCCAGTAGAAACAACAACAAGAACAAATATAGTAATGTTAATACACATAGAAATAGAGTGTTGTATACAAAAAAATAGAGAGCAAGACAAGTACACAAGTTCATACATACAAGTGTGTCATTCTACAACAATTAATACACAGAAAAAAAAGAAAAAAGAAAAAATTTTTTTTCATAACTCGACACGAAAAGAAAAAAAGATGATTATATAAATTGTTTAATCTTCATCTTCTTCATCGTCATCTTCATCATCATCATCATCATTATCTTCTTCCGATGATTTCGATTTAGCAGATGATTTTTTTGGTGCAGGTTTTTTAGGTGATCTTTTATTTGATGCTGCTGCTGCTACCTTTGATGGACCTTTGCTTGTTGCTTTAGCTGGTGAACTACCACCACCAGTTTTCTTATATTCCGAAAGACGTGCTTCATATTTTTGTTTTTCAACAGCAGCCTTTTGTTCATAACGTTTTTTAACGTCATCACTACAAAAAAAAAAGAAAAGATACGGAAATATTAAGAATTGTCGCATCGAATAGTATTAACAAATTTAACTTACCTAACTTTTTTCCATCGATGTCTGTTGGTGATATTTCGAAAG